CCTCGACATTCGTTGATGGCTTATCCATTTAATATATCATCGTTACCTCTCAATACAGCGATCAGTTCCCTGAAAAATTATCCTCCTTTAATAAACTGATGATATCGGAATGTTTGGCATTATCTATCGGCACACATTCGACTAATTATCATCCTAAGTGCACGCAGGCCCTCACACACGCGCGTCAAAATACTTGACAAAAAACTTGCGTAAATATGGCAATGTTTTTGACTAGTATTTTGACGCTATAAAATCATAATCTAATACAGCATCATTTCATGAAGCCCGCCTTCCCGCCTCTGACGTGAACGCTTGCTTGCTGTTCGCTTTACAGGGTGCCTTTTATTTGTTCTAGTTAGGCTATTGGAAACCGATGCTTCTGCTCCAATTAACCGCGCTTTCCAAGCCCCCGGCATTACCAGAGCAAACCAATGGCGCTTGCGGTGGGAGAACTTTTGCTCTGGAACCAAATATCAATGTACATGTAATTAAATATAATGGCGCTGAATTTATTCATTTCATACATTTTATTCATTACAATTGTATGAACCTAATTTGAGTTGGTTAATTATTCATTAGCATTGCAGAAAATACATCAATGGCCCTGTACGCCCGTGCTCCACGGTAGTTCAAAATATTTCATCAACGGTTTTCGGTCAATATTCAACGATTTCAAGTTGATTTTTATTTTTTATGTTTTTTCGTTATGCATGAAATTAGATAGATATTTTCGTACAATGGTGATTTTAAAGGGCGGAAAAAATTAACGGAATACGGTAAAACGAAATGTGCTACTCAGACATAAATTGAATCTGGAAACCGCAAAATTACTGACCGTTTTACTTCGATTCATTAATTTCTTGACAAGGTTACAGACCATGCTGAGGAATTTCGCTAGAACGCACGCATTGAACGGTTCGCACCGGTCACTGTGAACTGCGAATCTTACATGAGCACTTAGGCGATCACAGGGATTGCTCAAAAATTGATTGATTTTGAAGTGAAGTTATTAACTATTATTTTCAAGGTTGTGGGACATTAAAACGGTTTGCTGGTGGAGTCTATGCCAATTTTTAACATTTTGATCAATACATACCGTATACATCCAACAATATAAGTTGAACTGCTTGAAATTGGTTGCCGTTCGAAAGCTCTAATTGCATATGAACAAAAATTTCTATGCATGGAATGGGCAACAAAACTATAAAAAAATGCATTCCAGCCTTGTTCGTTGATATTCATTCAAGTTCCGATTTTACCCAAAACGTTGCACTTCTGACAAAAGAGGCTTAAGCATTTTTAGTGGGCAACCATTAATTAAGATTAATTTGTCAAATTCACGAACTGGTTTCCCACTAATTTAACGATATTGATCAGAACTTTCTTGGTAACATTTGCCAATCAAGTTATATTGACATTTAATCGCATTGTTTGTAGTGAAATCGCAATTTTTGTCTTTAATCTTTACTGAGCATACTGTTAGATATATTCAAATGGTGAATGTGATTTATAATGGGAATGTTTTCTTTGCAATAGATATAATTGCAAAAGCATATTTTCGGTCCGTCTAATGGTAGTAACTGAACTTCCCCCGCGCCCGCTATAGTGAGTATTTAATTTTATTTATGTTAAAAAGAGCCGGCAATTATATCACTTAACTATAGTTCTGCACGATCATCGTGGCAAGGGAAGGTCACCATTGCCATCCGTAAACAATAAATCGCAGTCATCGGCGTCGACTAGTCGATATTGCTCAACGTTTCCGCCCATTGTACAGAACGCGGACGCTCGATACTTTCTCTGTTGCTACCAACCTTCAGCCTGGGTTATATCATAGGAATAACGGTTCGTAATTCTACAAAAGTCAATTATTTCCTGCTGTCGCTGAGAGGTTGTATGTTCCCACTAGTATACATATAAAAAATTATTACACACCTGATTGAACAAGGTGCTCGGGACCAGTTGGTTCAGCTCAAGGGTATTTCTATGTATTCTAGAATACGCTGGTAATTAATGTCGCTCTGCATGCATATTATCCTACATCATTTCTCATAGAACGTTAATTTCTTGCAGATGAACTAGACAATCAGACAGATCCGCTGAACAGATTTTTACACAGTCATAACTTCTATAAGTTTTCCACAGGAGAGCGTGAAGACCGTATAAGTAAATTCACAACGTGCACCATCCTCTTTTTTACCGTCAAACTGCCAGACAGTTTTTTTAGTTTTCGCTTATGAAAACACGTTTTTTTCTGTGTTTCTGTTCCATGAATAAATCTGCCTTAACACTCTTGATAGCCTGTGCGTCCAATTTTTCAGATGTGATTCTAAGTTTACCTGTAATCATCCACTGTCAAGTAACAATATAAATCTTTTGTAAGTAATTTGAGCCAATCATACGGAATCAAATGCACTCCTTCTGAAAAAAAATAATTATAGTTTGCCATTTAACTCATCCCTTTAACTGGATTATTTACATAATCATCAATAATGCAGTGAAATAAATCGTGGTACCCCATCTACCAACAAAAGTTGTCATATGTGCTGATGAATTATGGATTATAAATTGATGAACAAACAATTGAATCACTAAACTTTTAGTTTTATTGCCTATAAGTTTTTCTTAACGGCATCAAATTGACGAATGTGACCCTTCTGTCGTCGAAAACAGTCGACATCACAAATTACATAAATATTTTTAGTATTTTCGGGTCTGGGTCTTTCATGGAGAGGAAATCCGTCTCGCGGAGACGCGTACGAAAGTGAAAAGGGCGCTGACCTTCAGACGGACGGAGAAGATGAAAGTAGTCGACTGTGAACCGGAAAGCGAACCACCGTCGCAATTCTTCGGTGCCTGGAACTGACGAATGCAGTTTTTATGCTCGGAGCAGCCACGGACATCCTGGAGTAGGTCATTTCCTGGTTGGGTGCTCCACATGCGGAGAATCAAGTGTACGGCTGAGGGAATCAACTGTTTACGGGAACCCAAGGCAGGTCATCTGGTGGCAACAGTACCACCGCCCCGACGTTATTTATGCACGTACTGAACAGATACATAAACTAAATTTCATTTCAAGATTTGATTAAAATAGATTCAGAATGAAACCTGTAAGTATGACACTTTTTAGCTCTATCATCTGCAGTTGAATTCAGTTGTGAGGTCAGTACGAGGCACGACTTCTTTTGTTATTAGGAGTCAGGATTTGTATCAGAAATAAACACAACTTTTGACTTGCGTGGTCAGAGATCATTCTTTATTTTTCTATATTCAATATCAAGGTAAAAATCTGAGTTTTTCATCATTAACCATGTGAATTTGGTGAGTAACCCAGACCTGAGAGAGCAACGCCCTGACGACGCTGTAATTAAGCTCTGGACATCTGTAAGCGCCCTCTTGCTACCGCCGTGCGACGCGTCCATACTTTGTGTCCACTCTAACTTGTGGCCGCCTGACGGTCTTGTGGCCGCCTGGCGGTCTTGTGGCCGCCTGACGGACCTATTTCGAAGGCAATGAACGAGCGTTTACTTAAACTGTTTAATTTATATGCTAATATTTAAAGTAAGCAATTACTTGATTCAGGAAAGCGGGAGTTTATCTGATTTAGGGATTGGTTGATTTGTATTTTAGGAAGTTAATTGCCCGAGTTGAATGCAAATCAATACATCGCACGTACCGAGGGCTGCATTAGTACTTCACTTATTGAAAGAGGATGTTTTAATTATTCAGCAGGATTCTCCAAATCCCTTCTGTACCGCGATGGTTGACAGAATTTAGCAATATAAAAAAAACTGTGAATAACTTAAGTTGTTAACTTCAATTCAGTAACACCCGTAACGATTTCCGGGATTTTTGAAAATCTATTTATCATTAAACGGCTTTTTTTTAAATTCAAATTAAACAGTAAATTTAAATTATTTTTTGGTAATGCTAGTCATTCTACCTAGTGCAGAATTACTAGCATGACCATGGGGCGGCGGCTGGTCAAAGGAGCGGTCGTTGACGCTGAGCAGAAGAGGTTGCCGTATTCCTGCGCCGCCGCCGCCGCCGCCGCGTCACAAACTGGTTCCTCCGCGGCGGTCAACGGCTCCGTGGTGCTCCGTTGTTTCAGGTCGCTCATAACTCATGACCCCTAAATGCCCTAGGAATGCAGCATCAAAACTCATTGCAGGAATGGAGCAAACTTATGTGTTCTTATTCAATTAAAGATAAGCTTAGTTTAAGTTTAATTTCTGATTATTATAAAAATTTCAACCATTGGTAGATATTGGCTGTAATAAATTATCAAAATTCGTTGCGTGAAAATAGCACTCGGATTCTGTTATTATCAATAATATAATTATAATGGTACTTTTTTTCTTGATCTCAAATTTTTCGTTTTACTTTGTCAAATCATTTTTTGTGTAATGTTTTTTCTTTCTTTCATCAATCGCAAACGTTTATCTGGCATATCTATTATTTCTCATTCAAAAATGTACTCTCTCTCTCAAGAAAGCAATTTAAGCTGAGACTATTGGTGTTTATGAATCTGGGTGCACCATGCGAGGCAAAGTGAAAATTACAGTAGAATAATAGAATTTTAAAATTTAAACAATATATGTATATTGTAATCAGTCATTCAATATGAATTTCTCTGGATTTCCTACAGCAGATTTAAAAAAAAAACTTTATAGATACGTACGTTTAATCTATCCTATGAATAATTAATCTTTCTGCTTCAATGAGACGGTAATTCAATTCCAAATACTTCAAGCGATCTTCAAATTACACTTGCGATAACTGATCGTAGTAATGTAATTATTTTAAATGGTTAAAAAATGTCTGGCATGGTGAATAATTTGTAACTTAGAAGCTGAGTATCGTTGACTAAGCATCCAACAGAGCAGATGAATACGGCAGGTTGTTAACTGGAGTGTTTCGGTCACGTTGATTTGTGGCAGGCTGGGCCCGGTACATATAAGAGTGAACCGCTTGGTGGAGGTCAGTCTGCGTCAGAGCGGTGCAAGGCGAGGACTATAATCACACCGCTTCGCACAACCATTAAACCTTTCTGTATTGGTCTGATAGTTTACTGCACCTACAGCCTAAATCAACTTTCATGTGAGTATCAACTTAATGGGAGACTTAAAGTCATTCTGTTTGTTACTAATGTTACATGAATTCTTTAAATAATTCTCACCGCCACTGCACTAAGTGACGAAATAAATAGAACAATTGCATATAACTTGGCTTCCGTGTATAGGTTTGATTTTAAATTGAGATCATGGAATAGCATTCATTCAGATCTTTGAGCAAGTCACCGACGTCAAGTAGAGCGAGCTTTAGTCTCTATAGACTTCCGAGGAAAGTGAAAGGACGGCGAGCAGTTCTTATTAAACCGGAGGTGTTACAGCCTGGCTTCTTCCTGCATCGTAACCTCGACTGCACACACCAACACAGCTAACGGACATGCTCTGCTTTCGCAATAGATGTTCGCCCAAAATGTGTTATATACTATGTACATTAATAAGATATTTGTTAATATTTTTCTCTTTAAATCGAAAGCTAAATGCTTAAAAATTATGGTTGTGGAATTGATCCGGCGCAAGTCCACCCATTAAAGTGATAAACAGTATCAATACACAAATTGACGAAATTGCACTGCACATGGGGCCGTACATGCAAGACTCGCTAAAGAGCACGTAGCGGCCTAAGTACACGTAGCGGCCTAAGTATACGTAGCAGCCTAGGTATACGTAGCAGCCTGAGTACACGTAGCGGCCTAAGTACACGTAGCAGCCTGAGTACACGTAGCGGCGTAAGTACACGTAGCGGCCTAAGTATACGTAGCAGCCTGAGTACACGTAGCGGCCTAAGTACTAGTAGCAGCCGATAAGTACACGTAGCAGCCGATTTTTCATCTATAATTGGAGGGTTTGGCTAGGAAACCTGTCAGTAGATTGGCTGACAGAGTTATGAACTCGAAAACTGAGTTGTTCACGGTGAGCTATATTTTTTTACTTTTTTGGTTGTGCGACTGATAAATGACGCGGGCTCAACATTGTTTCTATTCAGATCATAATTCACACACATAATTTCCTCTATCGTCGCCGCAAGTCTATGTGATGATTTTTTTTTTTTTATTATTGCGTTCCTTAGTTTGGCTTATTCGTGATAGTCTTGAATGAACAGAAAATTCCTAGTCGCATAAATGGATCAATGTTCTTCCTTCGTTTAATGACGTGCCTTATAATATATTTAATAATCTTTCCTACATGTTAAATAAGATTGTCCAAAACGCAGGAAGCGATATTGAAATGAACATTATTTATACACTGTCTATTGAATGAGAACTAGGGCACCTTTTGCTGGGTCTGAGCTAAATATACAAGACTTTCACTTGATCCTCTCACTTACGATACTCATTAGTGTAGACGGGCTTCCTTGACAACATAAGAACACTTTTACTGATTATCATTATTATTGTGACTGGACCAACTCGATCCATTACCTTACTTCATCCGGGTAAAAATATTTATCTTGCGGTGGAGCTTATTCCTACTGCTAGCGCAAAAATACGCCCTTCCATGTCATTATTTTCATAAAAAGTAGGAAGGAGGGATTTCCGACGGCCATGTTTTTTATCCCTGTGATATTTCTCTGCCATTTGGGTAATGAAGTATGAAGGTCTCCTTTTGTTTCGGGGCTTCGGCATCCTGCCAAGAATCTCGAAAAAACGATTTTTTTTCGCTCAAAGCTCCGTGTGAGATCGCTCCCCACGTCTCTGAGTCAATGGCTAATACTAGAAAAAGATGTCATGAGTTAAAGCTGTGTCCTTCATAAGTGTTTGATTCTGCTGTGAGATTTTAAACGAGCCGATGCGTATCATTTATGGCATTTGGAAATATTATGGAATAATAATAAAAATCAAATAGAATTTTACTCATGTAATTATGAAGATTTATTCATTCATTAGTGTTCAGCCAAGAAATATAGCAGTTTCAATCAAGGCTTCTCAATTATCGTAATATTTCTCGTATTCTGTTTCATTTTTGATTTTTTATGATGACTTAGGTTGAATCGATGCAAAATTTTGCATCCCAGTTCCCGGTTTCTGAAGACGACGTGTGACAGAGAAAGTAAGCACCCCAATCAACAGAACAGTTTTATTCATTCTATTTCACGATCGGTTGGGCAGCGAACAATATTACTGTAAGCATTTCATGAACAAAACCAAAGACTCAAAAAGATATTACTTGAATGGAGTGAGTCCACTCAGCAGCCTTCTCCGCATTAGCAAGTTGATCAATTATGCCATTTTGGATAAAATTTCAAATTAAGACACATAATTATTTGCAACTTCAATTTCCCAGCTCTAAAGCTGATAAGGCTAAACACGAAAGGCTCTTTTGATAAGGCTCTACAGTGAGTCATCAAAAACAAAGATGGTCAAAGAAATGAAAAGACAAATGTTCCGAACTACTGTGAAAGTCCGATGCTTTTAAAATGATCATTTCTTGCAAAAGTGGAGCATCCAACTGACCTTTGGCGGGCATCTCTTGCAAGAAGTTGGGCATGGAACTCGATCGTCTGAACACAAGAGCGCAACTCGTGTGTCGTAACTCGCTTCGCGGGGTGACTGTAGAAACCGCGCATCCACTCATGCATTACGAAAATCTGCGCTGCTTGCTATCACTTGCGCGTTATAATGCAGCGATCACCGTCACAGAAACATCGTAAAAATCATCCATGCTTTCCTCATGCACTACGAAACAAAATTTCTAATGTCGTTCGCCACGTCCACACAAGATCAAGCTTCATATGCCTCTGGCCTCCGCTTCAGACGTGCGTCGGGAGACGAAGCCTGCGCGCGTGCAGATGCAGCAGATGATGGATGGCCTCAACTTGCGGTTGAGCGAATGTTACTGATTTGGTGAGGCCGGCAATCGACAGCTGCGTTCACCGAATACTTTTTTAACACATATTAGAAGCTGTCAGCAAGAATTTTTATGTTAATCTCAACTCAATTGTTATATTGATCGCCCTTCTATAGATTAGGCTTTATTTGTTTCAACTGACTTGCGGAAAGTATTCGACACTCAATATCAAAACTTGTTTACGCTTGTTGCTGTTATTTGGTCTACAAATATATCTATTACTATAAGATAGCAGAATAAGCTTATTTAAACACGAGTGGTTAATGACCAGAGAAATCATTGATTTAAATTTTCAGGATCGAACAATATTCATCATATCTATCAAGTGGTTTATTGTACGGGTTCTCCATAAAAATCGTATCTTGTAAGGATTATAACGTTCCACACGACCGTAGGACTGGACACGACTCCTCCGATATATATCCTCGAATATATTTTCCTGTGGTAGGAGTTCGATTTTTGGTTAACTGCCGCCTCGCATGCTCGTTGCGTGCGCTCCTTCAAGTCGGCTAGCTCCCTGAAGGATTTAAATTAACAGTCAAGTCGAAAAAGAAGTTTGCCTCCGCAATGAAAGAAGTGGAATAATATTATGGATCTCTAGAAAATTTCACAGCATTTATAAAATGTTCGCTTGTTTCGATTCAATCGAGATTCAAAATTGTTTTTCGAAAACTTACGAACAAGTTCCAATTCACAACACCTCCTCGGTCTTGAATTAGACAATAATTAAATGCTTCTCTAAAATTTATTCTGTAGTAAATCATTATCTAAAAGTAGAAAATATCTTTCTTGCTGGCCATTGATTTTATGTTCGTTGCCTTCGCAATACCTCGCTGTCTGTCTCAGTCTCCACAAAGTAGTCGCAATGATCCTTAATTATAATGAGACATCGAAAAGACTTGGCCGCAGCCGACGTATCTTCGCCAAGGCTGTTGCTTCCCGCCTTTAAGCTTCCAAGGGAGTAGCTTAGTGTTTTAAATTGTAAGCTTCCCCCTTTTTACTGTAAATTTCAATTTTGTAGTTTTATAAATTCATAAATTTAGTTTAGTTGTTGAAAACTTTTTTGTAAATATTCCGAGAATATTTACGATTCGCAAGTTTCACATTATCACGTTTGTGTCAGAAAAAAAGAAAAAAAATTTCTTTTATTTTTTCGTTTGAAAAAGAAAAATTTTCAAATATACAGTGACTTGAAAATTCAGAATGAAAAAAGTACAAATTTACGCTTTTCATATAATTAGCTCACTGCATTGTGCACGCATTGACTACCTACCTGAATAGTTGTGTTAACTTAAAAAATGTAATAATTCACGTATTTGTAAGATAAAGCTACCCGATTTAAATAATTCGCCTCGTACTCGATTAAATTGCTCATATTTTTTTGAAATTGTTACCTCACCTTAATGTCCACACAAATTTATTCCTTTGCTTCATGTTTTTGTAAATAATTTTATGCATGGCATAGACTCGAATAATGCAATTGATAAAAATGGAATGAATACAACTCTCACACTACCGTCGAACATTAATTAATCTTAACACAAACAAACCCCCGAAACTACAATCATTTAAAGACTCGCCGCCACTTATTTAAGCCTCAATGTCTGCACATTCTTGTACGACTTAACTTACGTAGTCGTACATTCGTACATTCGAACCCGGTGGAAGCCGAGTAGCTATTTCAAACTTTCGTCAGTCATGAAAAAATACGGTCAAATGACACGATTTCGATCTTCTGTGAACAAGGCACGAAAAGGAAAAGAATCGGCGACAGGCCACATCAGGCCTACACTTCAGCGCCGAGATCACTATGTTATGTTATGGTATGTTATGTTATTTGTTATGTTATGTTATGTTATGTTATGTTATGTTATGTTATGTTATGTTATGTTATGTTATGTTATGTTATGTTATGTTATGTTATGTTATGACGGAGTAATTATCGAGTGAAGACAAAATCCCGTCTTCAAGGGGACGAGGTCTGGAAATACGAAGTGACGTGTTCGCCGCACATCTCAGAAACACATCACATGTGGGGTTGTGAAGCTTTATGTCGGGTACATCATATTACATTAAAAAGAATAGGTGTCCGGAGATTTGCCGCGAATCAACAGGATATACGAATGGTGTGGATAATGTCAGAGTGTTATACTTGATTGGGTATCAGCAGCTCCAATTTGCTCGTTTCTGAAAGACTTATGAAAGATTCAAGCTCCAACAAGCACCATATACTCAATTAAAGCGATTATTAAGATGAAAACGGTCCCAGTAATGTTGATTAGTTTGCTATTTATACTTCTGCATAGAGGCTACTCTGTGAAGAATGCTGATTTATCCTATATTTCTGCTTCCTTGCTTTCTAACACCTTCTAAAGATGTTTATCATAATATATGTTCCATTGAGTCTAGAATAGACTTTATTACCGGGTCTCAATAGACCTTCGTTTCATTTTGGATAAGGGACTAGGGAAGGATCCATAACAGAATAGAGGAATGGCGTTTAATGAAAAACTGCAACTTTCATAAAAAGTGAACCACTCAATTAATAAATTACATTCAAGTTGAATCATTGGCTTTAATAATTTGTACTATGACTTACCTTCGCAATACCGTCATCACCTTGCTGACAATTTGCTTTAATCATTGTCACTATCCTATTACGTTGATGATATTACTCAATTTCTGCTACTATAATATCTTTAAAACGCAAGAAATGTGCTTTAAAAAGAATGAATTCGATGATATAAAAAGTATGCTGAAAGTGGCGCGGTAGGAACAAGTTCATTGTGTGCTGAAGAGATTAGACGTCATCCATACGACGGAACTCGAATATAAGCAACATGTCATCAAACATGAATAAAACCTCATACAGTCCAAACAATGATAGATTGTTCTCCGTGTGTAATTATTGTCAACACAATGGAAAAGATGTCCCTGTGCCACTTCACGGTTATGAGACGTTGACTCGTGTCCCGCACGCGTCTTCACAACACGCACGACGCGTGTTGATATTACGTCAACTCAGGAGTTACGTGCGCACGGCCAACAGTATAATAAGTGTGTTTGTCGGCCTTCAGTAGTGGCTTTTATGTAGAATTTATAGATTATTTATTGTCCTTTTAACATGAATAATCGATATAAGTGCTCGGTTTATGTAGTAGAAATAAACTTATTTTGTCCATATGCGAACATTTCGTCGTTCCGGCTTCCAGATTCTAAAGTGTTTCCTTCCTCTATTAGTATCCCTTTCCATTGTTAATGTTTTAATTGGTGTTATATACAGCATAACTACAGTGAGTAATATCCTCTCATCTACTAAGAATCTCCCACAAATTTAACTTTATTATTTCCTACACTTATGAATCTTTGTTGGTTCTAATGCTGGCAGGAGGATATTTGGTTGACCATCACAATTCTTGATAAGCTCGGTGAATGGATTTCAAGTCACCACCTCGCTCACATTGAAAACATTTAATTGCTGACATTGAACAGTTTTCTGAGGCTCAGAACGAGGGGAGTTACTCCATAAGATCGCCTAGCTTCCTTGCGTAAGCTTCAGAGCCTCGACAACCGGCACGCAAACCAAACCAGAGAATTGACGATGTCGTCCTACTCCCCCCCACCGCTGCCGACGAGTTTGAACCTGCATTACGAAACAAGAAATATAAAACGCATCGTCTATAATTTGTGCCTAATCGATCTTACCCTATCCGTATCTTTACTTGAATAATGTCAATTCACAAATGATTTTTTCTCAATGATTTTCTGCTCTGAAGTCGTCAATGCATATTAAAGAACTCATTTGCCAATGGGGAGTAACATGTAACTGCCTAGAATATCTAGACTATAACACTTGAAAATCTCTCCCCTGACAACAATCAGAAGGCAACCACATGCGGGAAGTTAGAGGCGTAACTATGCAGCAGCTAAAGCCTACCCCATATGTACAGGAGAAGAGAGCTTATTTGATAAGTGCCGTCGGCCTTTAACTCGACTAAAAGGACGGATAATACAATGTATTCGCAATGATAAAGGGAGGATAAAAATGGGTTTACCAGAACTTTCTTTCCCGAAATTTAAGTAAATTAAAAGATTTAACAGTTGCATTATGAACATTGAAATTGCACAGTCAATTTTGGGGTTTACATGTTTCGTCAATATTTTTTTCCTGAATTTGTTTTTCGTGCATGATTATCATTTTTTTTTTCTAGGATGTATCGAACCTTACTGCACCTGTGCTTCATCAGCCTGGCTTTAGCAGCCATCAGAGTGGACCAGAAACGTGGCTTCAAGTTTTGCGGTGAGAGACTCTTTAATATTCTTCTTTGATTGCTATTTTTCTTTGCTATATTCTTGGGCTATCACACAAGTTTGAATCTCCTGACGATATTTTTCTCTTAAGATTATATGAATGTAATGCCTATGAATTAACGATAGGCGCTCATTCGAACAGGTTATGCTGAATCAAAATTGTTGTTGAGTGAAATCATTTACATTCACTAACTTTAGCAAACACATACCTGCCCCAGAAGTTTTTCCAGACTCTATATGACTCTAACTGGCATTAGCTACAAGACTTCTACATTATGCATACTATTGACACAGCAGTCGTGCTCATTCCATTCCAAGAAGAAAACATTGCTGGCTTTTGCCAGGAGCAATTTCGTCCTTTTCTGTTCATACAGTAAGCATAGCTCTCCATTGCAATAACAGTAGAGACGGTAACATGCTCGTTCTCCGCGAGACAAACTACAAGAAATAATAATACGCGATTGTGCATTCTCACTAGAATAGAAGTGTCAGCGCTGAAGAAATAGGCACATGGCCTATTCTCACTAGCTTTGCTAGTGAGAATGGATGTTGTATGGATTAAGTAGATAAACTGAAAAACAGCCGGCCAAAAATTACAAGAAGGATATAACAAACTCCTTTGCCAACGCGTTCGTGAACAGTTTTCTAGACAACTGTTTTCTGAAGGCTCGGTAACGAGAATTACCGGAACTCGAGATTGATCTAAAAAATATAGCAGCAAGTATGGTGATAGTTTTGTTCAGATTTTGTATTTCGAGAGTCTTGATAGAAATAATTAAGCCAGAATGTTTGAGATGTGCCAATTGAAATCCGTGTAATTTTCAATTTCAATAATATAATTTCAAGAGATCATCCGCCCTGTGACAACAACCAGCGTACAGGCATTCAGGCTTTATGAAGATCGTCAAAACATCCGGCATTGCAGGCGTATCTTTCACGCACGGCAATACAAAGGATTTTCTTGTCAGTGTTTGTGGACAAACTTGTGACGCGTGTGCATTGTGTACCATACAATGTATACCTACACAGTTTAGGTATATATTGTGTACCATACAATGTATACCTACAGTGTAGGTATTTAATATTGTGTACCATACAATGTATACCTACAGTGTACCACGCAGGCACGGCGCCGCTCGATTGTCTCACTCAGGACACAATAGCCACGAAAACTTTAGACACGATAACTTGTGATAAAGAAAATCTATCAATAAGAGTACTCAACTTTTCTCGTTCACTTACTAACATTTTCAAGTAACTCGGAGGCTTATTGGAAAATAACGCACTGAAATCTAACTAAAAACTGCAGCATCCAATTTTGCGAATTTTTTTCTGAATAAATATCGCAGTGGAAACGCTTGTGTTGGTAAAACTTACGTATGTGATGATCGAAAATTAATGTAACAATGATAACTGACTAGCTATTTTAAAATAAAATAATACAAAAAATAATTTGTCGCTTGTCAAATTCAATTTTAATCGAAACTTGCATTCAAAAGAGGTTTCCAAGGGTCTTGCTTGCCAGTTATATACATTAGATGGATTTGGAAATGAAATGAAATCGCTTGTTCAATGAGCTAATATAGTTATGACTAAGTAAACAGCTGATGGAAATCTTATAGCATAGGAAAACCTTGCACAACAGATGAAAAAGCGTAAGTATATAGACAAGTTAATCAAATAATGTGGCCTCGCGTATTGAAATTTTGAAATTCATATTTCCCGCCCAGACACGCCTCAGCTGGCCCAGCTGGTGAGCGTCGAGGTGGAGGGCCCAGGCTGCTCGCGGTGGCCGTGCTTGCTCTTCCCAGGACGCTCTGGAGCCTTCAAAATCACGCTCTACAACCAGAACGGTCAGTCCGAAGCAAAAAAAAAAATGCTTTGAACTTTTCAGTAACAATTTATACTGGTTTTTCTTTTACTGTACAGATTTGTGTTACATTTTTTGCTAAATTACCCAATATGGAGGAATGAAACGAGACTTTTTATTGCACATACAAACGTTGTGAAGCTGTTCCTCTCAAACCGAAATAATATAAAGTCGGTGCCCAAGAGCCATCTTATTTAATGATACGGTACCAAGAATTCATTTCCGGTGTCAAGTTGACAACAGTCACGGCTGTGATAGTTCTTTGTCTAGTCTTTGAGAAAGCAGCGACCAATGAGACTGATATTTCCTACAAGCAGTATAATTAAAAAAAACGATCTTTATCTCGGCTGATATGAAACAGCCAAATTTATGTCTAATTATTTTTCCAACGCTGAAAAAAAATCAAACAATTAACGATCTCTTTGTAAGCGTAAACACCTCAGAAATTTCATATAATAAAGTATTAATGTCACTTAAACGTTTTCTATAAAGATATGAATTTTTGTGGACTATTCTTTGCTTTTAAATTTTTGTTCATATAATAATAATAATTATCATTATTCGTCGTTCTAATTGGTAAAAATTTCCTTCGTGGGGGCAGAGGAAGCGATCAATGACCTGAACAGCGACATCCACGGGACGGTGCGCCTGAACGGCGTGGCGGGCCTGACGGGGCGCCAGAAGGTTGGCATGCCTGGGGAGGTTAAAAAGAAGGCTTGCCAATTCACGAACCCAGGCTGCCCCATACCCCCACACTCCTACTTCGAGATTACCAAAGTTGTCACCGTACCCATGCAGGCCAGAATGGTGAGTGGGGCTCAGAAATAAGACGGGTAGACTGCAGGAGATTTTAGAATGATTTAAGGTTTATCAGCAGATCACTCTACCAAGCAAAGGAACAAATCGAACAGTCAGTTCATGAAAAAAATTAATACCATAAATAGCAAAATTGTTCTACGTATCCGTAGGTCTGTTCAATGCATTTCTCTAGCCCAACGAAACAATGTGAGCAGAGCGTGCTAGACTAACGAGCTTCGCAGACAACTTACTCAGACTTGCCCCTCTACCCGCAGGCCCACGGCATGATGATGACGGAGTTCAAAGTGAACGACGGCCGCGGCCGGACTCTGACATGCTTCAAGGCTCCCGTGCTGCTAGGCAAATAATTTAATGCTTTAAATGACAACCTGAGCGTTTCACCAAGACAATTTACGAATGTATTTATACATCGCGTTTGTGTTGGATCAAGCAAGGTGGTAGGTAGTCGAAAACCATGAAGTACGAATGTATGATTTGGTTAATTGCTGAATTAACGTTTTAATTTTACTGCGTTCCGCAAAGGTATTAGATTCGTAGATTCAAACATTCCATTAGGTCAATAGGATATATATTTATCTCACGTAAATTTGCATCATGCCAAAGAAAAAAGCTTCTACTTACGCAGCAAGTGCCCCACACAGTGAGTTTCTCCCATAATTTAGATAGTAAAAATTCAAAATACGACGAAAGTAGTATGCCTTTCAACTGAAATGCGTTTTCACAATGTTGGTGAACCATCAAAGCACCAACTAAAATGTTTCAACGACCGAAAGCTGCTGCAGCGTTTTGCTGCGCATAGAAAAGATACGAACTTGTTTTTACAGAATTCTTGCCAAGTGGTGGTAAAAAAAGTCGTGCGGCTGTTAAAATAAAGCATAATCAGCTAATTAAATTAAAATGCGCAGCAAGACACAGAGAATCAATCTATGCCGACGAAAGTGTTTACTCAGAGAAACTATTCTCACCTTATTTTTTCTGAAGATCGTCCGCGACATCGACATTTTTAATTGATTCAGTTATGTATAATATTTCATTGATACGATATAATTCTACGATGAGATTTCATTTAAAAATAAGGCCAGAATGAATTGCCCAACAAGTAATGTTAAAAATGAAAAGTTTTCCATAGAGATCCTCAGCAAACAACGTTATAACCGTTTTGTTATAACAAGAGCAAACAACGTTATAACCGTTTTGTTATAACAAGAAGCACACAACACGGCGAGATAGAAAATGACGATGTAAATAACAGGATCTCATGCACGCAGTTTGTAGGCTAAGCAGCGGCGCAGCACTTGTTGCACGAGTTAGGTTCCTTGCATCTCGTAGATGTTGTTTTTATCAATAAATGTTGACTTTCCAAGCTTTCCTAATTTCCTAAGTAATTAGGATAGTAAAAAAAAGAAACATTAATGAATTACGCGGAACTTTATTGTGGAGCTTTGTGTGGTTGTTCTTTCTAAAGGCGCTTTAAGCTGCCGTCAACATTACCTATCACGTGGCGATTACAGAAAATATTGAGACCTCAAACGCAATGTGAAAAATTGAACTCATCATAGAGAAAACTTTTATTTGTGTATCATAAAATTTATAGATTGAGGAACACACAACTTGTATGAAAACTAATATAATCATACAAAAACATAATAAACAATGAAATAATAAATAAATAATACTTTATCTAACTTTTCTAAGAAAACCAGAATCACACACATAAGTACCAGAGGAGGAAAACACAACGAAAAATCACGGAGTAGTGATATCACATCATATCAAAGGTTGGACCAGCACACCGCATATCTCCTGTACGATATCTATGCTGCACAAGACAAAGCACTCACACAAATCCCAAGATAGAACTACAGAGGTCATGTTTCGCGATCAATATTGCATGGTTCCGCACCAGAAACTCAATACAGAGATAAAAACTAGACTATACAGAGACCGAAGATCGCACAACTCACAGTAGTACTTCAGATACAAATGATCGGAGAACGTCCACAAACACAGTAGTAGTAGTAATAAAAGATTTACTAGCGCTTCAGATAGCTATCTATTTCGCGCCGGAGGTGAGGTCTGCAGCTACGTCAAAGATGTCTGGTTTCTTCCGTCTTCAAGGCTTATAGCCTGATCCATTTTAGGCGCAGGGGCTGGGCGGTAGAATCCCTGCTCATGGAGCGAGGGTCCGCTCCAACTTCATGTATCAACTCCAGCGAAAGTTTAGTGAGGATTGGTCTAGGTGATGGCAAGGTGCGATTATAGTCTCGCTAAAGGCGGTGGTGCAAGTGCATATGACCGACCGGCGGTGGCGTTACGGGGCCATGCTAAATCTCTGGCAGCAGGTTGCATTCCATCAGGTATCGTCTAAGGTTATCGGTTTCGAAGTTACTTCGCCGGTCCTCCCGCAGCATTCTGGTGAGCATCTCGTCATGATCGAGGGCGGATGTGTTGGGGTAGCAGTTTTGTCGGATGTCTTTGTGGCTAGGGCACTCCGCCAAAACATGCAGAACTGTCAGGGGCATCAGGCAGTCGTCACAATATGGTATAGGGCGCCGTTCAATCAAGTAGCCGTGAGTGAGGCGCGTATGGCCAATCCTCAGTCTACACAGCGCTATCTCCATTTGTCGGGATCTCTGGTACGATGAGCTCCATGCTGATACACTGTCCTTGATTGTTCTCAGTTTATTGTTTCTCGTGTTCAGCCACAGCTCGCGCCATATATGGTGAACGCTGGTCCTGATGCGGGGGTAGTGGTCGTGACATGGGACGTCCTCCCTATAAATGGCAACGTCCGACGAAGCAGCGCCCGCCGCCGCCTCATCCGCCCTGTCGTTTCCCCGCACCCCCACGTGTCCCGGGACCCAGCAGATGCTTTTCGTTTTTCCCGCCTCCACCAGACGCAAAAGCCAGGCCAGAATTTCCAAGATGATAGGATGTTTGCTGTTGTAGGTTGACAGGGCCTGCACTACACTTTTGGAGTCTATAAATATTGTAAAGTTACGGTCGGGGTGGTCATCTATAAGGGCCAGGGGCCACAAACACAGCCGAAAACTTGACTAGTCGAACAATCCGATGTCCTAAGGAAACCTCCAACCAACTGTAGAACTAGAACGAGTCAATTCATTGCCCTAACATTCACATGAGGTCGTAGAAGTAGTCGAGGCCCCGGCGTTCACATGAGGTCGTAGAAGTAGTCAAGACCCCGACGTTCACATGAGGTCGTAGAAGTAGTCAAGACCCCGGCGTTCACATGAGGTCGTAGAAGTAGTCAAGGCCCCGGCGTTCACATGAGGTCGTAGAAGTCGTCAAGACCCCGGCGTTCACATGAGGTCGTAGAAGTAGTCAAGGCCCTGGCCGACCTCCCAGAGAGAGAGGCCGGTGCCGAGCGCAGCGGCGAGCTGCAGGCGGCGCTGCAGGGAGAACAGCGTGGGGTAGAACACCGTGCGCCGCCCACCTTTTGTCCTGCGTAAATAATATTATAAAATTATTCACTTTATAAACAGAAATTAAAAAGTGCACTGCCGCTGGCATACAATTACACAAATTAAATCATGTAATTCATAATTGAAGTAAAATCACAATTTTTGTTTGGATTACCGCCGTTCCTGTTGTACATCAATTACATTGCGGATTTACTCTGAAGGTCCGCAACAGTTCAGCATTATTTTTGAGATGCTTTTGGCTGTAGTTAAATCTATAAAACTTATGATCGTTTTCCAAGAGCTGAACCGTATGTCAGCAATGACAGTGTATTTGTTCTGTATTGTCGTACCGGTAAGTGATTTGAGTCTGAGACAGAATAATAATTTCGAACTCGCAGAAATTTTATATACTTATGAATCAAAATATGAACTCACTTGTACTCAAAGAAATGCTCGACGGAGCGATCGTCAAACTTAATCTTGGGCTTGTGTTCGGCAAGGATCTGAACGACCTGAGAGCCCAGTACGTGGTTGCCGCCCGTCACGCTGTGGTCCAGACCGTATAAGTTCAGGCCCAGTAATATCTGCCGAGATAAAATAATGGAGTGACATTCGATCGTGACGGTTTCCTTTCAGGGTGCCGTGAATCTCGGCCACTTTGCTTCAACGTACTAAAATATGCTTTAATGGACGAACTGAAGCATGTCTTTGCTTGGAACAGAATCTGTTACAAGGTTTAGTGGTCTAGTTATTGACCTCATCAAAGGTAAAAGACTCAAAATGTGAACTCAAAATAAGATCTGACCTTCTTTCGGTTACTGGATGCAGCGTCAGGCTCGATCAGCTCGACGCACTTCTGCATCCACGACAATGGGCTGTTGGGACCTAAAAAATGAAACGATAGTGAAATTTTTTGTTGAACGATGGGCAATGTGTACTGAATTTTATGACAACAGTTTGCAACGCACCTTACAGAATGAATAAACCAGATTTCTGTGCTTTACTTCACTCTTTGGAAAGATGACCGCAATGATTAACACGAGATATTATGTGTGAAGTCTAATTAATCTCTGAATTTAGTTTCAAACGCTAGATATAACCGAAAACTAAAAAATTACATAACTTGAGACTGACTTCATCTTCAACAAAATTCGAGAATTCACTCACAATTCCCAATTAATAATTTATTTTGCAATCGTCAATCATTAATATGTTTTGCAATAGTCTATTATTAATTTATTTCACAATCCCCAATCGTAATTAAGTTTTTGTGTCGGTAATGCGAGAGCAAAAGCTAGGGGTCGTCACCAGGGTTCTGGAAGCTGGAGTAATCGTAAGTCATGAGCGAGAAGAAGTCAAAGTGGGGAGCCAGGGCCTGGAACTGTGCGCGCTGGAATATGCCAGGCGCGTCCCTGCCACGAAAATAGCACGGAGAAAAGACGATAAAGCAACTGGAACAATATTGTAATTACGGTACCTATTATGTCGGACTAAGCAAAAACAAACAACTAAGCAGCAACTAAGCAAACAAAACAACTAAGAGAAAGTGACGGCTAAAGTGGCAAAGTGTTACAAAGATCAGAGAGCATTGAGAGAACGAATACGTTCGTGCCAAATGCGTCATATCAAATGAATGAGCATTTAACAACGGGTAAGAAATGCTTCGGCGTGGCAATCTTTTTTGTAAAGAGAAGATCTAATCACCTAGAAGAGGAATTCGCCCTAAGGGCAAGTAGACTTAGAGCGAAAGATTACATAATTCAATTTAGCTGTGCATAATAGAATAATAAGCGTAATAAGCGACTCGACCGTCAATTTAGCTATAGAATAGAATAGAAGTGTCGGCGTTGAATAAATAGGCCCATGGGCTGGGTCTCAGGCCAATAAATATAGCCTGAGACCCAGCAGTAAAAAAAAATCGTTGGTGAATCTCACCGCCAACTGAACTGCCACCACATGGACAGCAGGCAGAAATATGTCCGCTCTATCACATTGCATAAATGTTGTACGTACACAAACTTGACCATAACTTGGACTAAAAATTTGATCATTCAGCATTATTAACTGCAGCCAGCCAGATGATTGCCAACTTAATAGGTTGACCAAGTTGGTTTGCAGCTGATGAAAGCCTAAATCTTAACATGCAGATGCTGCTCAAACTACGAAGATTAATAAATGAGTTCTGATCCATAAAATACCAATAAAGAAATAGATTCATTAAAGTAGTCACTATCCATATGCACACTGATATATTGTAATTCGAGATTCCACACAGATGGTGCAATATTTTTATCCTTAATAGCAAGTAGAGTAAAATTGTAAAGCTTTAATTGCATTGACCGAACCCCTGGTAGAGTGCAGGAGGTATGACCAGGATGGACACGTAGCCAGCATCTCGGATGGAGGAGCTTAGGTCGGCCAACACGGCCGGCATGGTAGCGAGCAGAGCTCTGGCGGGCAGCTGACTCCACACTTCCAGCACCAAGCCATCAAAACCCTGCGACTAAACCAACATTAATCAATCATTATACAACTCTCCCACCGATGCATCTATATACTTTCAAATATTTTGAAATTAGTTCAAATCGGAAGTGTTTCACACCAGAATATTCAAATATATATTGATCTAACTAACGTCCAATTCTATTCAACGATGTTTAGAAGATCCTAATTAATAAGAAATTGAGCTGATCATAATACAGTACATGCAGGCTTGACACGAAATCTCTCTAAACAATAAGAATAAAATTTCTTCATATTCCAGAGCAAATGAATGACACTACTAAATGCTGATCAATTGCTTATTCTGGTGATGAGCCACGGATAACTTCTCACAGAAATCCTATTTGGAAGTCAATCACTCGAAACACATTCTGTAGGAAATAATAAAAAAAATTCATTTATAGCGCCAGTTATTTTCTGGAAACAATTGAGGCACTATTATAATTTGATATATCATAATCTTTAATTCACCCCCAAGAATGATGGTAAAAAAGTAGCCTAGAAGTTAAAGACGCAGCAAACCTTAATGGCAGATATGAGGTCAGAAGCCAAGTGAAGCCGCAGGTTGCGATCATCCACAAGAACTTGGAACTGAGCATTGTTCCAGCCTTCAAAAATTATTCGAGGTACAACTGAAAATAACAGAAAATTAACATGTGAGAAAAGAGATCAAAAACACCTAATTAGAAGATGTACGTGAGTCCATTACAATGACTTGCACTTCTAGACAAAGTATTTTTCTATCCATATTCAGACTTTTAATTGGTGCCAGAATGATCCCCGAGAAATGGCTTCCAAACCCTAACATTGTCCCAATTGGCAGCTTGAGAAGGCATTTAATAACAGCAGTTCAATATATAGGTACTCTTGAAATGTAGTACCGGTAAGTCAAAGATTCACCCCATGAGAATAACTTAATAATTCTATAGACTTAGCAATTCTAAGTACATGTGATGATTAGAAGAAAGTAAATTTTATATGTCTTTTATTTGAGAAGACAAAACTCACACAAAATTTATGTTCTCACTTTTAGTTGGTTTTGCGCCACTATTCTTCTTTACATCTCTCATCCAACCCTTGTCAACATCGTGCAAGCCAGTGATGGACCAGCCACCACCACCCTATAAAGTAATGAGCATGAATGCAAAATTTTAAGAAATACGGAGCAAAAACCAATCAATAAACGATTCTTTGCAACTTGATCATAAAATCCACGTTTAATGTTATTAACCAATCATCAATTTAATTGAATTTGTTAATCTAAAAATGTTGGACAGTAGATACCACAAAAGATTGCTCAGGAGAGGGCAGTAATTAACCCTCTTGTTGTTTTCGGGTCAAAATGACCCCCCGCTCCGAACCTATGCCCGGAGGGAATAGGGCATATACAGGAAAAGAAGACAACATGAAGGTTACATCCAATATATGTTGAGAAAGTTGAAACGTACAGTGTCCGGCGAGCGGCGCAGCTGCAGCCACACTGGCGAGATAAAACTGAAGCGATGTCCTTGTAGCTTAGCTACGTCATAGCCGTGGTTGTTCCACTGTAAAACATGCATGATGCACTTAGAAAACATGGAAAATTTTGGAGAAGTCCATTGTAGAAGGAGACACTACTAGAGGACTCATTCATAGTCTTCAAAATAGGAGTAAGGGATAGCTACAAGTTAGTGGGGAAAATCAATGTTTTCAAATTTCTCTTAAAACCTACAGGAGGATGAACAGAATCTAAGTGTATCTTTAATTTTCATGTACCAATTTCCATAAATTTTGTTCAGCTCGTTTGTGCTTGTTTTCTTGATATGTTTTTTTTATTGCTTTTTCTTTTCAAGCTGGTACAATTCTTGCCGGACCACTTTTGACATTCAGATTAGGCTGGCCACTGACACTAATCAATATTATTGGCTTATAATTTGTAAAAGAACTTAATAAGATATTCAATGAATGCATTTGGTGGATTAAGTCATGACCATCAGGTTGCATTAATCACTTGTTGAAAAACTATTCACATCCTCTAGCTTGTCAATGAATGGTGAACCCACTTGTCAGCAGCTAAATTTTATTTGATGGTATTTTGAACTGTTCTATTAGAGAAATAAATTCAACGCCTAAACAACATAACATGTGATAAGATTCTATAAATGTTTGGCATAAGCTAGTAGCTACTCTTAAACATATAGTTTAATTTTCACAAAACAATCACTGACAGGAGTCACATATGCTAGTGTAGTGAAGTTGCTGACAGTTTGCCCACTGTAGTAACTGCCATGATTCTCCACCACTTCCTTCCACTTGATGCTCTCCTTCACCAAACCTCGCTCCTCAACGGTCTGTGGCTGGGGACCCAAAACAACCTGAAGTTAAAGCTTCATATTAAATTAGGCCAAAAATCAATTTGTAAAATATGTTTTTTTACACAAATGCTTCATATCTTGCAACCAATGATTACAAGTTATCAATATACAAGCATGGAATGTACATATGTAATACAGTGCAACAGTTACATGATAAATTTCAACAGAACAAAATTTATTTGCTTTAACAAGAAAATGGTGTAGCATTAAAAATTCACTTAATTTTTGCCCTCATCAGCTTAAACTATCTACAGATTACCCAAGTCATAAAATTTAATGCATCAGCCCAAATTTCTTTATGCCAGTTATAGTTTGAAAAAATTGTTCATTGTATATATATGTACATCTCCTGAATAGTTGATGCCCTTTAGTGTGCTTCCTAAATCCTTTCACAATAAAATCTGAATGAATTGATGATATCTCTTATCTTTCTTTGCTTCCAAAATACAGAAAATATATTCAGTTGAATAGCATTAAAATTCTATATAATACCACAATAAAAAAAATATATGAATTTTGACCAAGATCAATGTTTATTTCGTACCTTGTTCTTGGATTCAAACTTAGCGGAACAGCTGTTGCAGAGTAGAAATATCCAGTAAAAAATGAACACTTCAAAATGATGAATGATGGTTTTTGGAATCATTGTCAATGTTATCAATCCAACAGAAAATTTTGACACAGTTTGTTGTCATCAACTAATAAACTGGTTTATGTTCCTAAACCAACAACACATCTGCAATGTTAGTTAATTTAAGCAAAGGGGTTCAAATTTATGTCTTCTTTTGTTTGTTTTGTGAGGACTTGGTTGTTCACCACATTCCTCTCAGCCAGCTAGGCAGTTGTTGAGAAGAGAACACTGCAAGGATAGAAAACGAAATGGTACTTTAGACATTCATTGTCAGTAAATATAAATATAGTGAATCAATATAATTGAGAAAGGGAAAATTTCAGACAAAGGGAGCACCAGCCTGAAGCTTAAGTTTTATTCAAAAGGGCCCACTGAATTGAGTGGAAATCATCATCTCTGAAAACATGTGCTATGCTTCTTGACCACTTCTATCAGGCAGATGGCTTAAAAAAACATGTCTGTGCAATCCTGATGATGTCTTGCAGAGATCCTTTTTACAATGGGATCCCATGATCAATATCTGAGAAAATATCTTGCAATACTAGTTACATTTCAAAAGTGCATCTAATGAATAATTGACAACATTGACATTGATAACCTTTCTCAAACAGGAATAAGTTAGATTATACTCAGTTGATCTGAATAGGTGTTGTTGCTTAGTTCTTCTATAGGACAGCAGACAAACTGTGATCCCCAAAACTGACCAAAGTAATAGGGCAAAATATAGGTAGTCTTCATGGGTCTTTACCTAGGAGATCCAATTCAACTGTTACAGAATGATTGAGAGGCTGGAGAGTGATAGCTCTAGGAAGTTATTCCAGAATAACTTATGAAATACGGTAGTCAGAAATATAGTTATTGAAGAGCTGATGATGGTGGGGACATCTGCCCCTTAAGAAATTCAGTGTGTATACTTATATATATATGCTATGATATGCAGAGTAAGATCATAGGTAGATGCAGGATGCTAGTTTGTGACCACAGCAATCAGGCCATGTTTTGATGCAAGGTATTTACAGCAATCACAGAAAGGAGCAGTTTCAAAGGTTCAAAGGCTGATACACAGTGTGAGAAAGAGGCCATTTAGAAGTGAAGATAATCATGATTTTGTGTGCGAGCTGGAGAAGAGCTGTAACCATTGAATTACCTGGTTTAGAGTAGTGCAGTGATGAGTATGTGTCATGGGAAGCTGTTATGTGAGGAACAAAGAGCCATCCCAGAAATTCAATGATGGACAGGGAAACATACAAGGGGACATTAGATATACCATCAAACGGGGTTGTGATGATGTTGGGTTCAATTGATTGATATAGTTTTTATATTTATTCAAGAACAGTTTAGAATTGCAATCATCTATGTAGACTATTAAACTACAGAGAGACTACTGAGAGACTCCTGAGAGGAGAGGACTTTGCTCTGTCCTGAGAATAGCGTACTGCAGCCTATAATAGCTCAGTCAGCCTCACAGGGACAAAAGACAAAGTGGTCTAACTTGACTGGCTAGGCCTTACAACAGGTACTATTCCAACAAGTAGTGCGGACAACCTTCTTATAGGGGTAATAAAGGATGGTTTTGAGCATTTTTTGTTAATAACATCTTACCATGAAACATTTCATAAACAAGTTTGGACTCATTTTATAGCTCTTTGCAAGAGCTATCATATGGCATCTTAAAAAAAATTCCATATGCTATTTGTATTGTAAGGTGCAAGACAGAAACTAAAAGTGTCCCGAATTACCCCTGGAAATGGGTTATCAGGAAACCTTGAAATAAAACTTAATTTTAAAATGTTTGAAGCATGCAGAGTGTACTCATTCATTACTAACATTAATCTGAAATCCTCCTTTTCCTTTGCAGATGATGTATATATAGATAATAATGTCATTTTCTGTGATTTTTACTCTTTTTTCTTTAATTGATATGATCTCATATCCCACACATTACCGTATTATTGATGTTAAATTACCGTTTCCATGAACATACCATTAAGTGCTTACAACAACCTTGTCCACTGCAAGCTTCATATCACTATCAGCTGCTGTATGGCACTTTTCTGTATCTGTAAGATTACAGGAAGGCTTGTAATTTCACACCATTTTAATTGCGTCAAGTGAATTCACTATAACAAAAAAAAAAAGATTGTAAAAATATACCTGAAACAGAAAGGAATATTCAAGTGACAACCATCATATTTTTGGAGAAATAAATTATAATTTAGGTTAATTACTTTTCACTCTCATGTTGCTGGGTGCTCAATTATATCTCTGACATTCTATGCACAATTCTGTGATGACCAATGATGCATTAATTTTTCATTAAGGGAAATTTTTTCACTGAGCAAGGTAAATATAATCAAAGTTTTTTGTTTATAATTAATTTTTTCATTAACTGGAGCCTTTTGCTGATTAAGGTTCTACTGCAAATGCATTTTTAGAGGTGTCCCTTATTACCCCAGGGGGGTGTTCTTTATTACCCCATCCTACAGAAATGGCCACCATTTTTTATAGAATGAGATATGCAAATTCTGTCATCAGGTTTTCAAGCCAACACCTGTGTGCAACTTTTATGTAAGTAAAATTTTTTGATACGGCAAAAACGTTTTTTTGCTACAGACCATAACGGAGGTACATTTCAAAAACCTCACTTTTCACATTTTTTTCAGGGATTTTTTAGAGGTAGTACAGCAATCCCTTGATAAACGTGGTTAATAAATCCCCGAGTTTTACCGTGCTAAGCAAAACCGCGCTAATCAAACTTAAGAATATATGGGAATAATTATAATGAATCCTCAAAAATAGCAGTTACATAATAATTTTTTTCCACTAAAATTCATCATATTTTTTTCTAAATAATAGGGGAAATAAATGAAAGAAATGCAAATGAATCAACATTTATTTTTTACTGAAAAACGAATCCAATTTCAATTGCACAGTAGTATTTGATTTCTTTCTCTCCTGCATAATTGTGCAGTTAATTAGTCTCCAAAGTGATATTTTTACGTTTAAGTGTTCCCTTTTTGCCCATAATTATGACGGTAATTTATCAAGGAAAATTATGTAGTTTGATGAAAATGAGCAGTAGATATGGCAGCGATCTTGACCAGTTGAAGGCTAACGAGTAACTAGAGCACTGGCATGGCGCACTTACCGGCGAACATTGCCGAACTCAACCATTCGAGTTATGAACGAGACAAGGTGCGGTTAAACCGACTCTGTAGTCAGCAGGGTGGAATTCTAGAAATGGAGGTTCACTTATAAAAAAGCTTTCCACCCAAGGTGGAATGCTTTCCTTAGCTACAGTGCTCTGCCAGGTGACTGACTATAAATGAAAAGGAGGATCAAAATTGGACAAACTGTTTCAATTGTAACAACATAAGATCTAATAAGCAAAAAGGAACACTTTTGTTACGAACGTAACACCTCTGGCTAGAGGCGGGAAAATGATGCGTTGTGAAAAAAGTCGCGCTAATCAAAACTGGCACCGTGTAGATTAAGATTAGGTCGCAACTTTTTTTTCCGCGTTAATCAAAACCGCGGTATTCAAAACCGTGCTAATCAAGGGATTGCTGTATATAAATGTAAGATTTCTCAACTTATTTTATGCCACATAGATGATAGATAGTAAAAATGTTGAACTTGATACCACTATTTGTAGTTTTGCAATATTTTGATAAGTTTAGCTGCTACAACATTTCTACAAAATGTGGGATGAGTCGGATAACTGTTCCTTATTACCCCCCCTGACTCCAGGGCAGATAGCCATAGCCCCACTCCAGGTCCAGGCTCCAGCCTCCAGGGCAGATAGCCCCACTCCAGGCCAGTGACCAGGGCAGATAGTCCCACACCACAGACCACACCAGGCCCACTGGCCACTGCCCAGGAACCTGGCTTCCTGGGGATACTAGGCCACTACCTGGGGACACTAAACACTCACCTGGGTCCTGGGGACACTAACCACTACCTGGGCCCGGTCTGGGGACACTAACCACTCACCTGCCACCTGGGGCACTACCAGTAACCACGAACCCGGGGGGTACTAACCACGCATCCAGTGACGCATGGAGGCATCTTAAAATCTTTGTAACGAAGTATGGCAGTTAGACGCCGGGAGCTGTTCAGAACTTCAGGAGTTTTTTGTTGTTTGTTTGATGCTTATTGGAGCTTTGGAGACGCATCCATGTAGCTCCACGTCTGCAGGGGGATTTGGCTGTTCCAGAAGTCCCAGTTTTTTTTCGATGTTCATAGATGCATCTGATTTCTTCATTTGTTCCTTATTTTTTCTAATGCTTGAAGTCTTGAGATTCTGTCTTTGTAAACCGAACTTTTTACTTTCCATAGGCAAGGTGCCTGTCTATATAACTCAATAAGCCTCTCAGTAACATCTCTGTTCTAGTCTCCGTCATGCGACATTGCAAAGCAAAGAAATAAACAGGTAATTGTGTGTAAATAGGGTAGGAGCGACAGCAACGCACAACCTACTCAGACGGCAGTCAAAGCGACACTCCCGAGATGAACGGCTCAAAAGAATGAACACTGCTTCATTCGCCGATGAGCCCGTGTCGATGGTCCGGACTGCCTCAGTCTGGACTGAAAAAGCCAGTTTTTCAGTCGTCAGTCGCGCAGAGTCTCGTAGTGTGAACGGGCCTTTACAGTAAAGACAAATGTTGTTGTTGCCATTTGACATTTGGGTAGAATTAGAGATTTGGGATAACATGTGCATGGACTTTGCAAATAAATTTGCGCCTCGTAAATGGCTTTTCATTGCCAAGATATGGAATTCATGGCTTGACAAATGGAACTACAGCTCAAAGAAATGGAATCAATGGCTGGCAAATCCATAAAACCATAGCTCGAAAAATTCAGTTGCGGCTTGCCAAGTAGGTATATTCCATGCCTGTTGTATTATACTACAGCTCAATTCTATCTCAATTACAAAAATTAGTGCCTCTAATAGCATAGTGACAAACAAATTTTTTAGAATCAGTTCATTTTAAATTTCCTGATCTAATTTCTAATCAAGATTTACACCAATGCCTTGAGCATGATGAGGCTGGTGTCTATCATAGTCTATGATACTTCCCTAGTCTATAATATATCTAGGACTCAGAAACGAACTTGGAAAGCATCTAAAAAAAGTCTGTTTTGTCCCTATCTCTGATTCTCTGTCAGGGAAGTGAAATTTCCAGTTAGGCATTCTGATTACATTTGCCCATAATTGCCAGAAAAAT